CGGGACTGAAGCCGGCACCACGGGTGGCAGGCCAAAACGGTGGGGACGCTCGGCTGGGAGGGCGCAGAGACGGGGGCCCGGGAGGGCCCCCCCGATGGCCGGGAGGTCAGAGACGGGCTTTCCGCCTCTTGCGTTTGCGGAGGGCGGGTTGGTGCAGAAAGGGGGGCGTCAGACAGACGCCTGCCAAGTCACAGGGGGGCAGGAGCGCTGAGGCGGACCCCCCGGAAGAGGAACGCGCCGGGCGAGGTAACGCCCAGAGAGACGAGCTCCAGGAAAGGCCGGGACGTGCCGGAAGCCAGAGCGCTCGGGACACGGACCCCGCGGCCGGCCGCGCTGGGCTCTGCACCGGAGCGCGCCCCAAGCAGTCCGCAGGAGACCGCCGCTCGGCAGGGCCGGACAGCAAGAGACCCGCGGCAGACCCCCTCCGCGACCCGCAAGTGCGTAAGTAAAACAAATCTCACAAAAGCAAACAAACTCAGATTGTGGGACCGTGTCAAAGGCGGTAACGCGCCACCCGGGCCACCAGGAGCAGGGAGGGGACACAGAAACGTCTGAAATCCTACGGCGGAAACTTTCCCGAATGGTCAGACGCCAAGCCAGCTCCAGGACGGCCAGAGAAAACGCGCCGGCCCATGCTGGGCGAAGTGCGGAAAGCCACGAACGGAGTCCTGGGGGGGGGGGGCCCGCAGGAGGAGCGGGCGCGGGTCGGTGCCCAGCGTGCCTCAGGGCAGGGAAGAGCAAAGCAGCGGCTCCCTCCGACACTCGCCAGGCGCCCGGCCGCAGACCGCCCTGCGAGAAGCGGTCAAAGGTTTCCTTGAGGCAGAAGGAAAATGAGACAGGTCAGAACCTCGGATGCACACGAGGGGGAGCCCCGGAGAAAGACGACGGGGAAGTCTCCTCGGTGATTTACCGATAACCAAGACAGCCGCTGCCCGTCACCACGCAGCAGGGCGGGGACCGGGCGACGGCGGCAGCGGGTCCCGGGCACGGACGGCCGAGACCAGAGGCCGCACTGCCGGGGCCTGACCGTGTCACCGGAGGGCGAACAACACCCGGCGTGCACACAGGGCAACTGCTAACTGTGCTCTCGGCTGCAGCTTTGCTAAGAAAAGACAAAAGGGACAGAGAGGCCCGTGCAGGCACAGACGGGCGCAGTGACGGCTGACGGCGGCGCGAGGCGG